CAGTTGGGTCAGGACCCGAACAGGGGGGAGATAGTCAGGGGGAGGGAAGGGAGGGAGCGAGGAGGGGGTAGAGAGTCGAGAGTGAAGCTGAAGGTACGGTCAAAGAGAAAGGTCTTGAGACCGGCCTTGAAGGAGGAAAGGGAGGAAGCGGCAAAGGCACTGGGGATGGAGTTCCAGAGCCTCGGGGCTGAGAGGCTGAAGGCCCGGCCACCGATGGTAGGGCGGTTGGGGCGGGGGACGTGGAGCAGACCGGAGCCAGAGGAACGGAGGGTACGGGCAGGTAGGTAGGGGGATAGTAGGTTGGAGAGGTAGGAGGGAGCGAGGCCGTGAATGGCTTCGTAGGTGAGGATGAGGATCTTGAATTTGATCCTCTGGGGGATGGGGAGCCAGTGGAGGCGAGCGAGGGCGAGGGGGAGGGCGAGGGTGGGAGTGATGTGGTCGCGGTGTCTGGTGCGGGACAGTACACGAGCTGCAGAGTTCTGAATGACCTGCAGTGTGGAGGGAGGGCCGGGAAGGCGGCGAGGAGAGAGTTCCCATAGTCCAGCCTTGAGGTGATAAAGGTGTGGACCAGAGTTTCAGCCGCGTGAGGGGTGAGGTAGTGCCGTAGTCTGGCGATATTCCGGAGGTGATGGAAGGCGGTGCCGGTTGTGGCGCAGATATGAGGGAGAAAGGACGGCTCAGGGTCGGACAGAACCCCGAGGTTCCTGATGGCTTTGAGAGGTGGAGAGTGCGGCCTTGGATGCACTCTGGATGCACTCTGGATGCACTAGACACAAACACTAGCCTCAAATTCCAACACAAACACGATCGAAGAGGAAGATCTTCAGACGGGACTTGAAGGAGGCAAGAGAGTGGGTGAGGCAGAGGGATTGTGGGATACAGAATGCCCAACCGCCGATGGTGGTGCGGGAAGTGCGGGGGACCCAACGCAGACCAGTGTCCTGTCGTTCAGCGCCTTATCACATTGTTGAGACGTATCAAAGCGCTTCACAGGGTTAGACTGTAAAGTGGATTGATTGTATTTTGTGGGCAAAACACAGCAGCCAATTGCGCACAGCAGCGTCCCACAAAGAGTTGTTATACATTACGTATGTTTATACAGAATAACTTATATATGGTTTGTTTGTAATATAGATGTCTCAAAGACATGATAAGGGGCTATATCAAACGCAAGAATTATTATTATTATTAATATAATACAAGAGAGTGAGCTCAGCCCGGATACTCAGGACAGACCATGACCGGAGGCTGTTACGTTTCTTAAAGACACGATGATGTCGCTTTCCCCTCTGGCAATGCTCCTGACGTGAAAGGCGCTATACAAATGTAAATTGTTGTTGTTGAGAGTGCTCCTCCACTTGCGACCTCTGCTGACGACGAGGATGAGCCTCGAGGCGTAATCCCCAGGGCTGACGCGTGGGGGCGTCTGGCGTGGGGAGGGGTGGAGGGAAGTGGGGCTTGAACCCACAGCCCATGACCTTGAGCCAGAGAGCCTACCAGCTCACGCCATCCACACAACTGAGTCTCCCCAGACTCACACCGTCGGTTGACCCGCCACCCCCCCACCTCGAAGCAACACTACTTTATTAAACCAACGCAGGAATACCGTTTGAGCTCCGTGTCAGGACACGACGGCGACTGAGAAAGTTCCAGGAAACCTCCTCTCGGCTCTGGTGGAGCAGCTGCTCTGCACTGACACCTGCTGTACAGACAGCAGTACTGCAGCACACGTCGTGCAACGCTGGACCAACTAACGAGCCTTAATAATAATAATCCTCGCGTTTGATACGGCGCCTAATCACGTCTTCGAGACGTCTCACAGCGCTTGACAGATTATACTGCAAAGTGGAGTGACTGTGTATTTTTTGGGAAAAACTCAGCAGCCAATTGTGCACAGCAGCGTCCCACAAACTGTCGTGGATTGAAAGTGACTAATTTATTATTGTTTTTTTTCTTGAGGGATTATTATCAGCCATGTGGAGTAAGGAAATTGCATTTATACTACAGTACATATACAGTTACTATTAAAATACACAGTCACTCCACTTTACAATATATCCTGTAAAGCGCTTTGAGACGTCTCAACGAAGTGATAAGGCGTTATATCAAATGTAAGGATTATTATCCTTATTAATATTTGTTGACTGTGAATATTATCCCCCGACCCCTGCACATCCCTCAGCCTTGTCCACCCTGCCATCGCTGGCTGAGCTTTCAGCCACTCTAGACAAACTCCCTCTCTCTCCGCTTTCAAAACCCTCCTTAAAAACATACCTCTCTATTGTGCCTTGGGTCAGCTTCCTCTGATTCCATTGCACACGTCCCCTGGGTTTCCACTCTGTCAGGGAAATGCTGTGAGATTTAGCAATACCCTCGTCCTTGACCATGTCTTTGGCCACACTCCCACCCCCCTACCCTCTAACCCTTTAATATAAGATTCCAACACCCAGCTCGGGTGCAAACCCTTAACTTTCCAGCGCCTTGGGACGTCCTCCCGATGTGAAAGTCGCTATGTCATTTGTTGTTGTATCCTACTTGTAAGTGTGAGTTGCTTCTGTGTCCTACCTTGTCTGTGCAAAGTGCATCAAGCTGTTTTTTTTAAATATGGGAGTGTTCAAACGCACACTATTGAGGAACGTTGTTGGTAAAATGGTTATTTTTTTTGGGGGGGGGCTCGCACGGTTAAAAAAAAAGCCGGCAGGTTTGAGGAATCCCAAGCAAAAAGATATATTCCACATGTTGCTCACCAGGCGGGCTTCCCCATCGGATGTTGCCATCATCTTCACTCGACCTCTCCAGAAAGACAATCTCCTGCCTGGCTGTGTGTGCGGTGCAGCATCGAGTTACCCCACAGTCAATGCAAATAGTTTGTGTGTGAATTCATAATCCTTGCATTTGATATAGCGCTTTTCACGTCGGGAGGACGTCCCAAAGCGCTTCACAGAACACACTGTAAAGTGAATTGACTGTATATTTGTGGGCGAACGCGGCAGCCAATTGCGCACAGCAATGTCCCACAAACAGTCGTAGATTGAAAATGACCAATTTATTATTGTTTTTGGTTTTGGAGGGATTATTATTAGGCTCTGTGTGGAGTAAGGAAACTTGCCCAAGGTTTCGCCCTCTGCCTGGAATTGAACTCAGGTCTCTCACTTGCAAAGCGAGTGCTCTAACCACTGAGCTACATTATACGGATGACACCCAACTTTACCTCTCTGCCTCCACCCTGAACTCCAGGACTACTGGCGTCCTGACCAACTGCCTGTCCGACATCAAGTCCTGGACGAGGGCCAACTTTCTCCAACTCAACGTCAGCAAGACCGAGGCCCACCTGATTGGCCAATGCCTCTGCACCTCGGGCGCTGGCAGCATCAGCCTCCACGGCTGCACACTCAACCTCACTAAGTCAGTCAGGAACCTGGGTGTCTTGTTTGACCCTGAACGTCCTTTCATCCACACATCCGCGCCATGACTGGCACTGCCTACCACCACCTCCGCAACATTGCCAGACTCCGCCACTGCCTCACCCCTCAGACTGCCAAAACCCTCACCCACGCATTCGTCACATCGAGGCTCGATTACGGGAACTCCCTTCTCATCGGCCTTCTCAACTCTTCCCTTCACAAGCTGCAGATCATCCCAAACTCTGCAGCTTGTGTACTCTCACGCACCAGGCTCCGTGACCCCATCACTCCCACCCTCACCCGACTCCACTGGCTCCCCATCCCCCAGAGGATTGAGTTCAAGATCCTCGTCCTCACCTTTAAGGCCATTGATGGCCTTGCCCCCTCCTACCTCTCTGACCTGCTGATTCCCTACCAACCTGCCCGCTCCCTCCGTTCAGTGGGCTCCGGGCTGCTCCATGTCTCCCGTCTGACCATCAGTGGCCGGGCTTTCAGCCTCTCTGCCCCCACACACTGGAACTCCATCCCACGGTCCCTTCGCCTCGCTTCCTCCCTCGCCTCCTTCAAGGCCTTCAAGACCCTTCTCTTCGACCGTACCTTTGGTCACTCCCACCTCTCTGCCTTCCCTCACCCCTACCCCACCCCTCCCCCATGCTCAGGCCCCGACATCTGACTGTTCAGCGCTTTGGGACGTCCTCCCGATGTGAAAGGCGCTCTATAAATGTCATTTTGTTGTTGGACTGGTCAGATCCCACTGAGCGGAGGGAGCAGGTCAGTGTGGAACTCAGTCCAGAGTAAGCAGGGAGAGGGGAATGGAGGGAGGGGTGCGAGTGTGTGTGTGTTCAGATGTAGTTGCATTGTTGTTGACTACTGAGGTTGACTGACTGGCTGGTGGGTGTCAGGTCAAATACAAGCCAGGAACTACTTGCAGGGACTGACTTTCTCTGTCTTACCCCCCACCACTCCCTCGGTTCCACATTCGTCCACGTTGCCTAACCAAGTTCAACCAAGTCTGCCCACATTGGCTGCCTTTGCTGCTGTCCATTTATGAGTCCAACTAACCCAGCCCAGATACTGATCATATCTCAGTAGCACAGCGTACCTCAGCTAGTCTCCTGGCAGAACATTCCCACACTACAGACTGTTTTTGTGTGTGTCTTGAGTCTGTGTGCGTACGGCTTACGTGCTACTCTCAGCCCCCAAGTGTTTGGACAAGCCGACAAAACGCACAGTCGGTCGCCTCAAGTGAAATCCCTGTTCTGAAGTGTCCTCCTGACGTGAACGGTGGTAATAATCACTCCGGGAAAATTCTAGAAAAATTGGTCGCTCAATCCACGAGTGTTTGTGGGACACTGCTGTACCCGATTGGCTGCCGCGTTTTGGCCACAAAGTACACAGTCACTTCACTTCACAATATATTCTGTGAAGCGCTGTGAAATGTCCCAATGACTGGATAAGACGCTGTATCAAATGCAAGGAATACAACAGCAACTTGCATTTATTTAGCGCCTTTCAGGCGGGGTAGCGTTCCCGGAGCGCTTCAAATGCAGTATTAATAAATTGAGCTGGAGTCTTAATGTTGATCCAAAGGGGTCATTATGGAGTGAACGTCAATTGGGAGGAGGTGGGCCGGGGGGAGGTAGTAAATGCACTGACAGCTCAGATGGTGGTTAGAGGTTCGTAGATAATGAGCGGGAATTGAATTTGACGTCCAAAAATGGCGGAGGGAAAGGACCACATACACATTCTCTCTCTGGTCGTATGTTATTGAGAGGCGGTGGTGGCTGGGGGCTGACCTGGACTCTGTTTACTTACGTGCTTGTCCCGTTGCAGAAAGCCAAGGCTTGCTGAAGATGACCAGGAAACCTCCGAGCCGGCGCGGAATTACGTTCGAGGTGGGAGCTCGTCTTGAGGCCAGAGACAGACTAAAAAAATGGTATGTGTCGCAAGCGTTTACACGAACATAAGAATTTTCTGGCAAAAGAAAGCCAAGGTCCATCTAGTTTGCCTTCCACCGTCCTGGCAGTCGCTAGACATGTTGTGTCCCAGACTATATACTGTATATATATGCCTGCTCGGGTCCTGACCCAACTGTCCAGCGCCTTGGGACGTCCTCCCGATGTGAAAGGCGCTCTATAAATGGAATCTTGTTGTTGTATCCCCAGATATTATTTTCTAGCAGAAATCGTATCTAATTTGTTCTTGAATCAAGTAACATTTTCTGCTTTCACCCTCTCTCTAGGGAGCCCGTTCCATAAGTTTACTACTTGATCCTTGACTTTTGGAACCCTCCCGTCCCCCCCACCATCCCCCACTGGGTTGCGTTGGGCATATTTGAAGACGTGGGCATTGCTCTACATCACTGGTGGGGGGCGGTGGGCAGGAAGGGGGTGTAACAGTAGCATTGATTGTGCTTTACCTACTGTACATGAGGCATATTGTGTGTGTGTGTCCAAGCAATGTGTCCCCCAGTGTCTCCAGAAGCCTTCGATTTGCCTTATAAATATTTTCATATTTCAGGTGCTTTTAATGCATTTAGGAAAAATATTTACATAAGAATTTGCTGGTGAAAGAAGACCAATTTGCCTTCCACCATCCTGTCAGTCGCTTGACGTGTCTTGTCCCAAACTATATACTGTATTCTGCGATATTATTTCCTAACAGAAATCTTACCCAAATTGTTCTTGAAAAAATAAATTAGGTAGAATTCTAGAATTGCTACTAGACAAATATTGACATTCGACCATTAATGTTGCATTTATTCAGATTCTTTTTTCCCTTTTGCTTACTATACACCACACACACACACATATATACCTCTGTTTACCTAGCAGCAAGTAGGAACCCAGTTGTTACTCATTTAGTTGATCGCTTTCTGGGGGTAATAATCCTTTCTAAAAAAATTGTGGTCACTCAAACCACGACTGTTTGTGGGACGCTGCTGTACGCAATTTGCTGCCGCATTTTGCCCACAAAATATACAGTCAATTCACTTTACAGTATATTCCGTGAAGCACTTTGCGAAGTTTCAACAATGTGATAAGGAGCTGCATTAAATGCAAGGATTATTATTATGGAATTTAGCCGATGCTGATAGTTGGTGCTTTGGAGTTCTGATAATATAATAATCCTTGCATTTGATATCGCGCCTTATCACGTCATTGAGAGTCTCAAAGCGCTTCACAGGATATACTTTAAAGCGGATTGACTGTATTTTGTGGGCGAAATTTGCTGAATTCAGTATTTAAATCTGAATCCCTGTTTCCTGTAAATTCCTTAAAACAAAAATCTCACCGAAAACCCGCTCCAAAATTAAAGTTTGTCTTTTTAAGAATTGGACAATATCTGGACGTTACTCTGAAATGCTATCTTTAATAGAGTAAAATCTAGACCTGGGTGGAATTTCTACCCACACGTTAAAAAAGAGTATAAAAGATCTCTCTCTCAGTTTCCTCTCTCCCTCGCCCCGGCAGGTACACAGCACACATTGAGAAGATCGATTACGAGGAGGGAAAGGTGCTGATCCACTTCAAGCGCTGGAACCATCGTTACGACGAGTGGTTCAACTGGGACAGTGTTTACCTGAGGCCCCTGGAGAGGCCTCTGCTACGTCGCGAGGGGGTGAAGCTGGACGAAGTGACCGTGGTGAGTCCGTGAGCTGACCCCAACACAGTGGGTAGGGAGGCCTGGAGAGGGGGGAGAGAATTGTATTTAGAAATGCTTAATAATTGTATCCAGTGCAAATGTTTAGACATCCAGAAGATCAGTGTGAAAATGAGGAGGGAGTCGGCAAGGTGGAGGGATTGAGGGAGAGAGTTTCAGGGCGTAGTGGACGATGGTAGAGCGGGAGGGACAAGCAGGAGGCCGGAGCCGGCCGAACGGAGGTGGCGGGTGGTGGCGCGGGAGGAGTATGTACGATGATCTTAAATTTATAGCCTCTGGTTACCAACCCAGCCCGGTTGTGTTTAGTGTTGGATTTTTCCTGCATAAGAAACGTCTTAAGTGAAGCGTGCGTCTGTGAGCTGCTAAGTTGGATGCTTGTCAGCAGCTCAATATAGGATGGATCGATTAGTGGATTGATTGATAGATTCATTGATTGATTGCCTGTGATTGACTAGGAGTTCCGCGTGGGGGAGCAGGTGTTGGCCTGCTGGTCAGACTGTCGCTTCTACCCGGCCAGAGTCGCCTCTGTCAACAAGGATGGTAAGTGGGACTTGGGAACGTCAGCGAGTATAGTGGGACCCACAGTGGGGAGATTGGGATAAAGGTTTGGGAATGTCGGGACCGAGACAACCTCTATTAGCTGATGGAGTTTCACCCACAAAATACACAATTAAATCTACTTTATGGTGTATCCTGTGAAGTGCTTTGAGGTGTCTGAATGACGTGATGAGGTGCTGTATCAAATGCAAGGATTATTATTGTGGGTGGGCCGGGGTTACCGGGTTGAGGGGTGGGAGTGTTTTAAGGTTATTTGTGTGATGAAGATCCCCCTGCCCATTCAAACTGTTTGAGGGTCTGTTAATTCCTGGGAGGTCTAAATTACCTCGACAAACCTAACCTGTATCTGTATCTCATTCTCTCTCTCTCTCCCTTTCTCTGTTCAGCGACCTACACGGTGGAGTTCTACGACGGAGTCGTTCAAACCGTGAAGAAAATCCACGTCAAACAGGTTCCCAAATACTCAAGAGATCAGGTGAGTTACGCTGGCACACAGTACCTTCGATAACACAGCACTCCCTGCGCCTCCCCACCCCTCCAGCACTTCACTAGAGCACCAGCCTGGACTGTGTGGGTGCAAAGCCCTCCCCTGACATGGGTTCCTTGACCCTAGAACCTTCTGACTTGGGGGGGGGGGGGGCGGTGGGGGTGCTAGAGCGAGGCTGACTGAGCCGGGTTGACACACACACGCCAAGGTTACAATGCAGTAACACTCGAGTAAGTTGTATCAGTCAGGACCATAAAGTTTAATATGACTTACGCGGTGCCTGAGCTGTTGGCAAACTGTTTCATCATCAGTAATTTACCCCTGTAGCTGGTAATTTTCCTGCGATTCAAGGTAATCCGGCAAGTACGAGAGTAATGGAGGGTGGCAGAGTGGTGTTACGAGTTAGGAGGTGATTTAACATGAGTCGTGCAAAAAAAAAAAATCGAAGCGGCTTTGATAGGAAACTGAATGGGACTGGGGTGAATGTACGCCATTTATTAGTTGTATTTATTGTACGAAGATAAGACTTGTGTGGGTTTTACTGTAATAATACAATACAATATTACTGGACCTGTGCTGTATCAAAGTAATTTTGTCTGGCACTGATTGTGGTGGACGTCGCTGTGTTGGCTGAGACGGTTTGTGGTGTGTGTTGGCAGGGATCGGCCTGGAGACGGAATAAGGAGAACGGGACGGGGAGCGGGAAGAGGAAAGAGAAGAGCAGAGACCGGGCGCCTCCGTGCCTGAGTCCCGACCGGAGCAGGGAGCAGAGGAAGGAAGAGGAGACGGTGGCGGGAGGGGGGGAAGAGGAGGAGACGGGGAAGGGTTCTCCCCCGGCCCAGGCCAGCAGCGAATCACAACAGAGCTCAGAGCAAAGCTCCCCGCTGTCCAGCGATGGCAGCAAAACCGAAGAGAAGAGGAAGCGAGGGAGACCCCCATCTGTGGGGCTCGCGGGTAAGCTGGGCCGCGAAGGCGACAACTCGCACTTATGTCTCACCCTTCACGCAGGATATAGCCCCTCGGAGCGCTTCACAGGGTTTCACTGTAAAATAATAATAATCTTTGCCTTTGATACAGCGCCTTATCACGGCGTGGAGACGTCTCAAAGCGCTTCACAGGATATATAAGTAGTTTTTGCCCCGCCCGGGAATCGAGCTCCGATCCTCTCGCTTGCGAGGTGAGGGCATTAACCACAACACTCCGTGACTCCGCAATGGTTCTCAGGGACTTTGCGCTTGTGTGTGTGTGTGTCCTGTGCAGGTCAGAAGCTGGCGGGGAACCCAGGGCAGGAGCAGACCCGGCGACGCTCTCTCCGCCTTGCGTCTGGTGACAGCAACTCGTCTGCTGGAGCGCAGAGTGACGGAGCCTCGGGCCGCACACAGGACCGGGAGAGGCGGAGGAAGGTGATGTGCTCTTCAACAAACCTGGCGCAAGACAGACACAGACAGACACGCACACAGACAGATGGACACACAGACCGACAGACAGACAGACACACGCAGCCATATAGATAGACAGACGCACGCAGACAGACAGGTAGACAGATGCACAGACCGACAGACGCACCCAGGCAGGCAGGCAGACGCGTGCAGGCACACACACACACACACACACACAGATGGCCAGGCGCAGACGGGCGCAGGCAGGCAGGCAGACAGACAGACGCAGGCAGGTAGACGCGCGCAGGCACACACAAGCACAGATAGCCAAACACAGACAGACAGGCGGGCAAACACACACACACGGGCAGACACGACACACACACACACACAGCTCGTACTCAGTAAGGAATTCTGGAGCGTAGTGGTTAGAGAGCTCGCCTTTCCCGGGGCAGGGTGAAACCTTAGGCAAGTTTCCTTAACCCACGTGCCTCTGTTTACTGAGCAGAAATTTGGAACCCAGTTGTTAGTTGATTGGCGGATCGCTTTCCAGGGGTAATAATCCCTTCAAAATAAATTGGGTCACTCAATCCACGACTGTTTGTGGGACATTGCTGTGCGCAATTGGCTGCTGTAAGCTTTAGTTTAAATTTGTGACCATGCGGTGAAGTAAGGACTGACACAGATGTAGTAGAAAAATATAGATGTTTACTAATTCAGATTAGTAATAATTATAAGTGGTTAAAGGAATTCATCACAACAATGCTTATGTATCCACGTTTCAACTGCAAAAATTTATTCAACTCACTTTACAATGTATCCTGTGAAGCGCTTTGAGCCGTCTCAACGATGTGATAAGCGCTGTATCAAATGCGAGGATTATTATTAAGTTGCTTCTGTTCTCACCCGCAAAGTAATAAATCCGTGTGTGCGGGGGAAACGGCATGGGACGTTTCACTATTTGGGGATTAGTTGATATGTGTGTGTGTGTGTGTGTGGGGTGGGGGGTTGGTGCGTCTGTTTGTCTGGGGGGCTGCTGCGTGTTTGCGTGTTGTTTGACTTGCTCGTTCCTCACAGCAGCAGTGACTGCGGACCCTCAGCCGGCCCGGGCAGAGCAGCCCGGCTCCAATCACCCCCAGCCCCCCGTGCCCAACGTGACCCCCAGCGAGACCTCCAAACCCCAGATTGCGGGCAGCCCCAGGCCACGGACCGAGGACGAAACAGCAACCGCCAACTCCTCCAAGCCCAGCTCAGACCCCAAGCCGCCTACCAGAGAACCAGGTAACAGCAAAGACACACACACACCCTCTCACTCTCCCGCACCCTCTCACTCTCCCGCACCTTCTCACTCTCCCGCACCTTCTCACTCTCCCCCACCCTTTCATTCTCCCCCACCCTCCCCCTCGCTCACTTTCACACATTGAACGCCTCTGCACAATTCCACAGCAACGGCTCCTTTGGCCGAGAGAAAAACATCTCCACAGAATGAGACCACAGCCGGTTATTATAATAGTAATAATCCTTGGCTTTAATATAGCGTCTTATCAGGTCTTTGCGACGTCTCAAAGCGCTTTACAGGATATACTATAAAGTGAATTGACTGTATATTTTGTGGGTGAAACGCGGCAGCCAATTGCGCACAGCAGCGTCCCACAAACAGTCGGGATTGAGTGACCACATTATTATTATAACCTCGAATCCTAGCCGGAACTCCAGGGCTGCGATGCCAGTGAAAACTGCGGAAATCCCCGCCCACCTACGCTGATCCCATATCCACACGAGGGGTGGGGGGGGGGTCAATCTCTGCTGCAAGTGTTGATGAGGAGATGGCTGACTCCACATGCACCCGTTTTCGGCAATCATTTGGGGGAAGGCAAGCGATCTCGTGCAATGACCTGGGGGGTGGGGGGGGGAGAGGATCGGAGGATGGGTAATGTCTTGTGATCCACTGACCGTTTCGCAGGAGACGTCTCAATTGGTGAGCAACACCCGGGCGGAGTTTGTTTGACTTTGTGTCTTGTGTTACTGAAATAATTTGGTGGGCAGGGGGGAGAAAGACGTCAATGCTGGAGAATGGGATTTTCTGCCCTGCTAAAGTGCGTCGAGGGGTAATATAGAGACTCAGGGACACGCGGTTGCAGGCTTATTGTTGAATGTTCTTGGTCAAGAACCAGGTCATTTGGTTCATTGCAGTCTGCGTTGCTATTATTTATTCTCCTCCCCCCCCCCCCCCAACTTGTATTTATTTAGCGCCCCTCACACAGGATAGAGTCCCAGTCGCCTCCTCCTTCCAAGTGAGCAACTGTGGGTCTTATATAATATAATAATAATAATAATAATCCTTGCATTTGATATAGCGCTTTTCACGTCGGGAGGACGTCCCAAAGCGCTTCACAGAATATACTGTAAAGTGAATTGACTGTATATTTTGTGGGCGAACGCGGCAGCCAATTGCGCACAGCAATGTCCCACAAACAGTCGTAGATTGAAAATGACCAATTTATTATTGTTTTTGGTTTTGGAGGGATTATTATTAGGCTCTGTGTGGAGTAAGGAAACTTGCCCAAGGTTTCGCCCTCTGCCTGGAATTGAACCCAGGTGTCTTGCTTGCAAAGCAAGTGCTCTAACCACTGAGCTACAGGACTCCACTTAAGCCCCTCTCCTGCTCACCAAGTGTGCACATCCAAAGTGTAACGAAGAGCACCCCCTTCCTGCACTAGTGTTTGTGACACCCATTGCCCACAGCAGACGAGCCCAGTGAGGTTGCTGCTGTGCCCTGAACTACAGTCGAACCTCACAACAGCAATAACTTGCATTTATACAGCGCCCTTCATCCAGGGTAGTGTCCCGGAGCACGATACTGAACCCTGCTCGTAAAGAAAAACACCCCGGTTTTAACCATCCCAACAGCCAGCCCTGATCTTTGCACGTCTTTGACGATCAAATCCTGATATAGTGAACACCCTGATATAACAATCTTTTCAGCCGGTCTCGAGGGAGTTGGCTATAGTGAGGGTCGACTGTATTTTAAGCAGCTTTATGTTCAGACCGACAGTGCTGATGATGAGCCTCCCCCCCCCCCCCCCTCGATGGTGTTAATTCTCAGAAGAGGGGGTCCTGGTTACGAGACCTAAGCCTAACCCCACCCCCGAGAGAGCAGCACCTTCAGCTCTTTCTACAGAAGGCTTTCCCGGAGTAATTGTTTGTTTTATTTTCCTCTTCTCAGCTCCTGTTGTGAAGCGTGTGCCTCGATCCCAGAACCCAAACAGATACAGTAGGGAACCCTGTATGTTTTCGCTTTGAGCGAGGCCAGTATTTTAAGGACTCGCTTTTTGCTGACGTCCCTGTCCGTCCTTTTTGGCTGCTTGTGGCCCTGAGAGAGTGTGTGCGTGTGAGCGAGTGTGAGTGTGAGCGTAGGGTGTTTGCGCACACATCCGTACGTCCACGTGTGTGCCTGCGGACGCTTTGTGCTGTGTTCGTTTGTGTCTCAGTTGACGCTTCCCTAATGGCTGTTAGGAATAACACTTAGTTGGTTAGTCTACGGGTGTAAAGAGAAGCTGAACTGTTGTTGTTTGGCAACCAGGAAAGGAATGATTAAAGCAGCCGTAGCGAGCAGGACCTTCCCTTTATACTTCCCTCGCCTCACCTCCCGGTAGCTTTCGGGAGCAAAATCACTTTGCTTCTAACACCTCCTGCTCTGACCTCTAATAACCTCCACCAGCTTGTCTACCACTCGCTCGGGCTCTGGATCTCTGACGTCTTAGTCTGGAATGTTCCGCGTTTTCGCGTGATAACAAGTGACAAGCAAGATGCCTGTGGGTTGGCGTTGTTCACGGGTCCTGCCGAGATTTGGGGGTGGTTGGGGGGTAAGGGCATTGATACCACAATACCTTGTTCTGGTCTGGTTTGCTCGGTTGATACTTCGAGAGGGAAATCCTTTCTGTCCTGGAAACTTTTTAGAAACTCAAAAAAGTTTTGTTTCTTTGTTTGTTTCTCTCTCTTTCTCTCTCTCTCTCCCTCTCTCTCTTATCCCTCACTCCCCCCCCCCCCCCCCACATCCCCATCACCGTCCCCAATCCAGTGACCAATTCCGTCAAGACCCCTGAAGACCACCTGCCCCCCAAAGCCCTGATCATCGAGCTGGACCACAACAAGTTCAAGTGCAAGATTCCAGAATGTTCCAAGGCTTTCCGCAAAGCCAAGATGCTGCACTACCACATGAAGTACTACCACGGGATGGAGAAGGTGGAGACGGAGCCCACCTCTCCCAAGAGGAGCATGCTGACACGGGGGGCTTGCAGCTCAGAGCACGACTCCCCCCTCGACAGCCCCAAGCGACCACGCACCACCTCGGTCTCTCTGCGTAAGTCGGGGCACAAAGTAACTTGTTTACGTTCCCCCTTTTCCGCCCATCCATTGTCTTTCCTGCTCTGCTCGTCTCCTTTTATTAATAATAATCCTAAATAATCCTTGCATTTGTCTTGAGACGTTTCAAAGTGCTTCACAGAATATACTGTAAAGTGCAGTGACTGTATTTTGTGGGCGAAATCCGGCAGCAGCGTCCCACAAAGTTGTGGATTGAGTGACCAATTTTTTTTTGAGGGATTATTACCCCCCGGAAAGTGATCCGCCAATCAACAAAGAACTGGATTCCTGTTTACTGCTGGTAACCAGAGCTTGTGGAGTAAGGAAAGTTGCCTAAGGTTTTGCCCTGCCTCGGGAATCAAACCCGGGTCCTCTCGAGCCCTCTAACCACTACACTGCGGGACTCCATTATCCTGTTTCTGTTCTCCTCTTCCCCCTGGATCCCTGCGCTCTCTTCCCCCCCCCCCCCCCCGCCTTGTGTAATGTAAGGCTCTGACGTCGCTCCTGGTTCTCGTAGATGGGAATCAGACGGTGAGTCACCTGAGCTCGGACGGGAACGCTGGAAAACTCAACGAGAAGAGACGGACATCGGCGCCTTCCTCGGTGGGCATGTCGGGCTCCCAGCGGCCGTCTCTCCGAGAGAAGAGCAAAGACAACCAGATGGACAGATCCCATCGGAGGCAGCAGGACAGGGAGAGGAGCTACTCCGAGACCGGTGAGGGTTATTTGCTGTGTGTGTGTGTGTAAGTGGCTTTGTGTGCAGTAATTTGTGTGCGTGTGTAGATTATGTGAAGATACACAGAATACTAACTATATATTTAGAATAAATAATTATAATATAGACTATATAATATAATATATATATATATAGGGACACTGCTCTCCAAATACACAGTCACTGCGCATTACTGAATATTCTGTGAAGTGCTTTGAGATGTCTCGAAGACGTGATAAGGCGCTATATCAAATGCAAGGATTATTATGAATTTATATGTCAGTACTGCACTCAGTCTGTGGTAGTCATTGTGCGTGTGTGTTTGTGCGTTTGAGTTTGAATGTGTGCATGTGCGCTTGAGTATGTGCGTTTGAGAGTGTGTGTGCCCACGCACGTACACACAGAACTGGCCTCCATATGTACAGAGGTGTAAGTGTGTTCAGCATTACTCGTGTGTATTGCTACTGTACATGACTAGCGTGTGTGTGTGTATGTGTATGTGTTTGCCTTTTGACTCTCCTGATTTAATTATTGGTTGTGTTGCTGGGCAGGAATAAAAGAGCGGAACAAGGAGAGAAAGTTCAAGGATTTCCTGAAAGTCAAACTCAAGAAAAAGAAGAAAAAGAAAAAGAAATCAAAGTCGGGTAAGTGCCGAGCTGGGACCTGAGGGTGCGGATGACGCAGTGAGTTTGAGGGCTGGGCGCAGAGCGGGAAAGCGTGTGTTTGACGAGAGTTTATAGCTGCTCATTTTGTGAGGGGTGGGGGGATGAAGGACACAAGCTCAAAATCTTAAAGCAGAAACCTTCATTTTGCTTTCGTCCCATACACACACACACACACACCCTCCCCTCACCTCACTAAATTGTTCCTATGACTTACGATTACGTCCTGAAACTCTCGAACACTCTCCCTCAGTCCCTCGGCCTTGCCCCCTCTCTCCCCTTTTTCAAGTCCTGCCTGAAAACTTTCCTCTTTGACCGTGCTTACAGCCATCTCTCTTCCCCTCCCCACTCCTGACTCAGAGTCAGGCTATACCACTGTTAAAGCGCTCTGAGACTAGGTCCTCAGGTCCGTGGAGTCCTGTAACTCAGTGGTTAGAGCACTCGCTTTACAAGCGAGAGACCTGAGTTCAATTCCAGGCAGAGCGAAACCTTGGGCAAGTTTCCTTACTCCACACAGAGCCTAATAATAATCCTCCAAAACCAAAAACAATAATAAATTGGTCATTTTCAATCTACGACTGTTTGTGGGACATTGCTGTGCGCAATTGGCTGCCGCGTTCGCCCACAAATATACACTCAATTCACTTTACAGTGTGTTCTGTGAAGCGCTTTGGGACGTCCTCCCGACGTGAAAAGCGCTGTATCAAATACAAGGATTATTATTATTATTATGTCATATCATGCTCTGAGCTGTACATCTGCCTACGTGGAGAAGGAGCTATATATGTGCAAGTTGTTGTTGGTTTACTCTGTGTAGTGCCGCTTATCTGCCAGCAGGTGGGGCTGCTGTCATGCCTTTCGGCGCCCACTGTTACATGACATCCATTTGGTTCATCCTGACAGCTCTGCCCAGCTGGAGTCACAACAACAACAACAACAACAATAATAATCCGTGCATTTACATTGATACGGCGCCTTATCACCTCTTGGTCACGTCTCAAAGCGCTTCACGGGATTCCACTCTAAACGCGTAGCGACCGTGGTTTGTAGGCGAGCGCGGCAGCCAGTTTGCGCACAGCAACACAACGGTCAGGAAATGATTTTATTTGGGCGATTATCGGGGGCCAGGACACTGCGCGTGGGGTGCGCTGGGTGGGTGTTTAGGGGATGGAGTGGAGAACCTTTCTCTTTATGAGTAGCCCCATGGGATCGTTGAACGTTGAACGTCCACCTGCTTTATCATCTCATCTGAAAGGACAGCGTCTTCCAACAATGCAGCACTCCCCCATTTCTCTCCCCCCCCCCCCCACCCACCTCCCCCAGTGCTGCACTGAGGTGTCAGTCTGGACTGAGTGAACTTCTCGCTGGGTTGTGTTTGAGTGGTGGGGTGCGGGAGGGCAGGGTTCGGGGAGAGCGGGGTCTGGGGTTGTTTATGTTGAAGGGGTGGTGGGGGAAGGCGATTGCTCACATGGCCCTGACGCCTGTGAACTGTTCGGTTGCAGAATTCTCTGGAAGCGAGGAGAATATCGATGTCTCCAGGGACGTCTTCCCAGCCAGAAGAGCCACCTTCCCCTCTACTCGCTCTGCCTCGTCCTCCTCCTCTTACAAGTTACCCTTCTCGCACAAGTACACCTGCCTGCGCAGCTCTGACTCAGGATTCTACAGGGAAGGGCTGAAGGTGGACGGTGGGTACATTCGTTATTAATAATAATAATAATCCTCATAAAATACTGCAGATGTTGAAAATCTGAAACAAAAACAGGAGTCGCTGGGAACACTCAGCAGGTCAGGCAGCATCAATGGAGAAAGGAAAGTGAGTCAACGTTTCGGGTCCACGACCCTTTCAGGGTCTTTCTGAGCAGGGCGGAGGATCCGAAACATTGACTTACTTTCCTTTCTCCATAGATGCTGCCTGAGCTGCTGATTTGCCCATAATGATCCTCACATTTTGATTTAGTGCCTTATCACGTCTTTGAGACGTCTCGAAGCTCTTCACGGACAATGCTGAATATCTAAAGAAGATATCGAGGGGATTGACTTGCGTATTTTGTGGGCGAAACGCGGCAGCAAATTGCGCACGGACAGCAGCAGTGTCCCGCCAACAGTCGCGGATTCATTGCCCGGTCTCGCGTTTTGTCTCCGTGGTAAAACCCGAGAGCGGGGTTAGTTAGGGGCTCAGACTGGGGAAAGGACACAGCACGACGCAGATCTACATTTAAATTCAATTTACACGCCTTTCGCATCGGGGGGGACGTCCCAAGGCGCTTAACTAACAATAACGGCTTGGCACCCAAGATCAGGGTGAGAACCATGGTGGGGGTTGGGGGTGGAAGTTGACCGAAAGTGTCAAAACACCAAGCCACGTGGACTTGATGGATCTAAGCTCGGCGAAGGCTTAATGTTTTTGTTAGGTCAGGGTATCCCGGGATGTGGGGCGAGGGCGGGTAATTGGAGTTGAGGTACAGATCAGCCAATATCTAATAGGATGGTGGAACAGGCTGGAGGGGCTGAATGACGTACTCCTGTTCCAATGTTTGCTATAATTCTGAGCTGGGGAGTGCTCAGATTTCTCCAATCCTTGAATACTTTCACATGTGCCCCCCCTCTCTCTCTCCTCAGTGCTTTGTCTGCTCTCTCCCTCACACTTATCTCTCACATGCTCTCTCTCTGTGTGTCGCCCCCTATTGTTGTGGGGGAGGCCTGACCTCAGCACACTGTCCGCATTCTCTCTCTCGCTGTGTCGCCCCCTAATGGGGGCCTGACCTCAGTGCACTCTCTATGCTCTCTCTCTGTGTCGCCCCCTGATGGGAGCCTGACCTCAGTGCACTCTCCATGCTCTCTCTCTGTGTCGCCCCCTGGTGGGGGCCTGACCGATGGCTGTGATGTTCCAGATGAGGACCCCTCGAGCGACTCATCTACGGACAGCCTGATGTGGAGTGAGGACGAGTACAGCCAGGACGTGGATGTGACCACAAACCCTGACGAGACGGGCGACGGGGACGAGAGCCAGCTTGAGATTGTGCGCTGCGTCTGCGAGGTGGAGGAGGAGAACGAGTTCATGATTCAGGTGACGGGAACCTCAGAACCCTCGGTCGCGGACGTTTGGTGGGAGAGCCTTCAGCCACTCTGCCCCCAACCTATGAAATTCCATCCCCAATCTCTCCGCCTTGCCCTCTCCTTAGCCTCCTTCAAGTCCGGCCTCAAGACCCTCCTCTTCAACCATGCCTTGGGCCACCCCCCTTCCCCTCCCCTCCCTTCTTTCCCCCCCCCCCCCCGAAACCCAATTGAGGTTTGAAATGCTGTACTCTGTCCAGCACCTTGGGATGTCCTCCCGACGTGACAGGCGCTATACTAATGTAATCTTGTTGTGTTGACTCAAAGGCTCATGACCATGTGGGACTCGCTGTCTGAAGCGGGGGTGGAATCAAATAATATAGAAGCATTTAAGAGGAAGCTAGACCTTCACACGAGAGGGTGGGAGGGAGAAAGGTGTGGGAGGGGGAAATGATCGGAGTTTACTTTTGCTCAGCTGGACGTCTTGACACATGCGGAAACTCATCACCATTGCTTAAGAGTCTCCAAATCAAACTGAGAATTCCATGCATCCCACCAACACATGGAAATCCCAGAAATAGATTGTTGGAATGGGATGGAATGCACTTTCTCTCTCTCTCTCTCTCTCTCTCTCCCTGGAGGGACCCATTCTGCTGACCTAATACCAGAAAGTATTAGGCGAAGGTTGGCGAGACCCCAAAGCTTTTGTGTTATGCTCTTCAGTAAAGGAAAGCTTCCTGGTGTCTCCCTGGCAAGTTGCCCCTTTGCACCTCTAAACCTGTGTCCTCTTGTTCTAATGGCAGAACATTGTTCTCTTGCCGCTTAATCCTCTTTAATTCCCAAGTGTTGGCCCTTTTCTCTCTTCTAAACATTTCTCTCCGCCCACTCCCCCCCCCCCCACCCACCCATCCAGTTCTGCCTGTACAACCTGCTGGGTTCCACGTTCCCGCAATACCACAAAATATACAGTCAATTCATTTTACAGTATATCCTGTGAAGCGCTTTGAGACGACTCGAAGATGTGATCAGGTGCTATATCAGATTACTATATATTAATATTCCCCAAGTGATTCCCTGTCAGAAGAGCAGAGTTTTCCCTGATGTCACTTCTGAACGGTGTGGGGCCTGGCTTCAGGCTGCCTCTTCGACCCCTGGTGGCCTCTGGTCACTGCTCTCCGCTTCTCCCTTGCTCGGCATCGAACCTTGCCTGCCACTTGCTAGGTGCTCCTGTGTTGCTATCCTGCCTGAAAGGACCCTCTATAATTACAAGGTTCTTGTTGTGCCCGGGGCGGGCTAGCACTGGGGTAAACTCGAGCCGTTGGCAGTCTCTGTTGAACGTCTCTGTTGCCTTGTGTTCCCACAGTGTGAGGAGTGTCTGTGCTGGCAGCACGGTGTGTGTATGGGGTTACTGGAGGACAGCGTACCTGACATATACACCTGTTACATCTGCCGTGACCCCCCAGGTAAGCACCGCGTCAGTCCACCCCTATCGTGTGCCCACCCCTGTTTGCATGTCGCGCACTGTGTATGTGTGTTGTGTAAGTGCCTGTGGTGGCTGTGTGTGCATTGTAACAGGGTTTGTGATTTTACTCGGTGAGAAAGATGTAGAAATGTAATCAGTCAGTCTGTGTGGGGGTTGTTGTTGCCATCGGTCAGTCTTTGTCAATCGATCAGTCAATTAATCAATCATTCTGATGAATCAATTAAAGGGACTTTTCATGTCCTCAATCAGCACAGATACCAGGCCCTGAACTGCACAAGTAATCCCATCCAAACCTCTCCCACTGTCTCTCTCACCCTATCTCTCTCTCTCTCTCTCTCTCTTTCCCCCTCCTTTCCTCCTCTCTCTCTCTCTCTCTCTCTCTCTGGTAGGCCAACGCCTGAGCTCCAGGTATTGTTACGACAAGGAATGGCTGAACAGCGGCCAGATGCACGGGCTGAGCTTCCTGAAGGAGAATTACTCTCAGCAAAACAGCGGGAAGATCGTGTCCACACATCAGCTGCTCGGGGACATCCACAGGGTCATCGAGCTACTACACGGGCTGCAACTCAAGATGTACATCCTGCAGTGAGTGAGAGGAAAGGAGGGGGCGCGGTTTGGGGTGGGGGGAGAGAGCCATGCGGAATCACTGGCTTCAATTTTCGGGGGCGTGGGGACTAAGCATTTTTGGGAGTTTTTAAAAAAGACAGGGCTGATTCAGGGTTTCACTCACTTGCACCCATTTACATTTTTTTACCCCGGGTGATTAATTGGATCAACACAGGTTTAATTATTTTTGTATATGGGGAAGGGGGTGACTTGACTCAGTGAACACAAAGCTGCTTTCATTTCTCTACCCCCCACCCACATCTGTCCCATCGTTCCTGTGTTTTTAGTCCACGCGAAAATATACCGTCACTCCACTTTACAGTGTATCCTTGTGAAGCACTTTGAGACGTCTCGACAACATGATATGGCACTGTATCAAATGCAAGGATTATTATCCCAACGTCCAGCTCGGGTGACTGTCCAGCGAGTTGGGATGTCCCCCCGACGTGAAGAATGCTGTATAAGTATAATCTTTACAATTAAATTGGAATTTGGAATTTCCATGTCTAGGTGGGAGGTATGGAAATCTCAGTTTGGTTTGGATATTCTTAAGCGCGGTGATGGGTTTCTGCATGTGTCAGACACCCAGCTGACTTAAAAAAAAGAGGATGCGTGGAGTTTTCTCTTAAATGCTTTCTGTTTCAACCAGCGGAGAGTTGCACATCCTACCAACCTCTGTGGGAAGACGTTCCTTGAGTTTCCTCACTTAGGTTAGGTTTAGGTCCACATAGTCCTCTGAACTCTAACCAAAGTTCTGCATAAATATAACATGACCTTCCTACTTTTTATACTCTGTTCCTCTTGGGTGTAAAGCCTTGTGACCTTGTCCACCTGTGCTGTGACTTTTACGAGTTTTGGGGTATCTGAATCTCCTGATTCTCATTGTTAAATCTCTCTGCTGCTCTCCTCTCCTCATCAGCATCCTCAGCAGTTGAATTGGCTACAGCCGAATGAGGGATCTCAAGGTCACCGTCAGTCACAACGGCAAGAAATTACATTTACACAGTGACTTTCATGTCGGGAGGACGTTCCAAGGCGCTGGGCAGTGAAGGGTTTGCACCCAAAGTGGGGGTTGGAGTCTTAAGAGGGTTGGAGGATAGGGGGGTCGGTGGTGGGAAGATGACCAAAGTCACGGTGAAAGAGAAAGGTCTTGAGTTGCGGCATTGAAGGAGGCATTGGAGGGTGCGAGGCGGAGGGTCTCCGGGAGGAAGTTCCAGGGGCGGAGGAAGGAAAGGATAAAGTCTGGACCTCTAATAGTGGAGCAGGCCAGAGGAGGGAGCGGGCAGGTTGGTAAAGTTTTAGGAGGTTGCGGGGATAGGAAGGGGTAAAACCGTCGAGAACTTGTAAGAGTGGGAATGAGGATCTTGAACTCGATCCTCTGGGGGAGAAGGAGCCAGTGAGGCCGGGTGAGGGTGGGGTGGGTGGGTGATAGGCTCACGGAGCTTAGTGCGGGCAAGGACACGAGCTGTAGAGCCCCGAATAATCTTGTGTGAAGGAAAAGTCGGGAAACCCTGCGAGCAGGGAGTCAAGCCGGACGTAATAACAACAATAAAATAATAATCCTTGCGTTTTGACCTAGGACCTTATCACGTGATCGAGCCGTCTCAAAGCGCTTCACAGGATGCACTTACTATTTAAGTTCAAGCTTCAGTGCAATTGAGTTGACAGTGAAGGTTGGATGAGGGTTACCCTCAGTGACTGTGAGAGGCGTTCCTTGACTCGGAATGTAACAAAACGTGAGGCTTGCCCACGGCCGTTGACCACCTGCCTCTTGCCCAACAGGAACAAGGACCAGCCGGACCTGAGGCTGTGGTGTAAGCCCTGGCGAGTGTCGGCCGTCGCCATGGAGAAGCTGCGGGATAGACCGAGCGAGGACGGCAGCAACAACAGCAGCAGCAGCAGTGTGGCCTTGTGCCCGTCTGGTGGCCCAAACCCACCGGCGAGGAGCACCAATGGCACCGCGGACAGGCCTGGCAGGGTCCGTCCACCCACCGAGGAGTCCTACATCACCAGCGAGCACTGCTACCAGAAGCCTCGGGCCTATTACCCGGCAGCTGAGCAGCGGCTGGTGGTGGAGACCAGGAACTCGGCCTTGGATGAGAGGATCGGGCGGCTCAGGGAGAACGGGGACGAGGCCTTGGCTGAGAGGTTCGGCCGGAACATCGACGAGGACTCGGGCCGGATAGAGCAGAGCTGTTACCGTGAGCAGGCGGCCCGCTGCAAGGTTGGTCACCTCCCTCCCTACCCTTCCTCACTACCTCACGCCTTCTGACTCCTTAACTTGCAGGAAGCTTGGCCCGTGCTCGGTGATTACACGCTCGCCTCGCAAGCGAGAGGACGTGGGCTCGGTTCCCGGGTGGGGCGAAATCTAGTTAAATTTCCTCACTTCACGTGCCTCTGTTTACCCAGCAGTGAATAGGAACCTGGTCGATTGTTAGTCGATTCACGAATCACTTTCCAGGGATAATAATCCCTTCAGAAAAAAATAATCATTTGGTCCGAAGACTGTTTGTGGGACGCTCCAGTACGCAATTAGCTGCTGCATTTCACCCAGAAAATATACAGTCAATTCACTTTACAGTGTATCCTATGAAGCGCTTTGAGAGGTCTTAATGACGTGATAAGGCGCTATATCAAATGCAAGAAATATTGTTATCCCAATCCCCAGCTCGGTTACAAATCCTTGACTATCCAGGGCCTTGGGATGTCCTCGTGATGTGAAATGCGCTGTGTAAATGTAATCTGTTAATTAATTAGGTAATTTGGAATTTCCATGTCTAGGTGGAAGGCATGGAAATCTCCTTTTGGTTTGGATACTCTTGAGCACGGTGATAGGTTTCCACGTGTGTCAGACACTCAGCTGACCAAAAAAAAGGATGTGTGGAGCTTCCTCCTAAGTGCTTTGCGCTTCAACCAGCAGAGAGTTCCACATCCTACCAACCTCTGCGGGAAGATGTTCCTCAATTTTCCTCTCTTAGGTTAGGGTTAGGTCCACACAGTCCTCTGAACTCTTAACTAAAGTGCTCTATAAATACAACATGACTTTCCTACTTTTATGTGACACGTGGCTGACCCAACCCACCCCCAAAAAAAATTCTGGGCAGAAGGTTGTAAACTTAGGGTCTTTCTTATATCCTTGTGTGTATGACCCCACGTACACATAAGGACATAAGCAATGCTAGACGTAAAAAAAAGACATGGTGGTCACATGCACACATGTCCCGAACTGCCTACGTGCTATATCCCATAGTGTTATTTCCTAAAAGAAAACTAATCTGTGTTTGAAGGGATTAACATTTCCTGCTTCAAGTGTCTCCCTAGGGAGCCTGTTCCACAGATTTGCCCACACACACACCCACCCACATCCACCCACACACACCCACACTCTCAGACGTTGTGTTTCAGAGGCTGTAACTCGTGTCCTCTCTCTGGCAGGCTCGTAGCTGCAGTACTGACTCAGCTCCCGACATGCCACGGGAGAGGGAAAGCTGCCGGCAGAAGGAGGAGGGGGAGGGGAGCACCAACGACCCCCAGCTCCAATGGCAAGTCAACCTCCTGACACACATTGCCTCCATGCAGGACGAGGTCTCCCAGCGCATGGACTTCATCGAGCGAGAGTTAGATGGTAGGTTAACCCCAGCCCCTGTCTCGTCCCATCAGGGGAAAGGGGTCTTTGCTGTAGAGGTGGTGGGTTGGGTGTATGGGGGTAGAGAGTTTGGAGGGGTGGTTGTGTTGATGTACGCAGCCCCCCTGTAAAATATATAATACACATTCACATGTCTTTTTTACATCAAGCATTTCTTATGTTCTTGTGTGTATGTGGGGTCAGTGCACACTCACACAGACACACAAGAGCACAACACACACACACACGTATGTGTATCACATACACTTTTATATGTGCCCACACCCATACACACGTATACGCCCACACAGGCACAAATAGCATATTGTGTAGCCCTCTCCAACATCAAGCTTGTTGGAATCCTGCTTCTTGGTAGATCAGTGACATTATTAGAGCTCAGAAAGATGCCGTTCAACCCGTTTCCTGTGTCATTTTCCTCTGAATGTGAAGGGAATAAATATAATTTGTTGTTGTCGTTGTGCGACGTGCGTGTTTGTCCGTCCACATGATAAAGGGGGGAGAAGAACGAGTGAGTTCTGGGTAAAGGGGCTGTTTCTCGGTGCGGGGGTGGGGAGGTGACTGTTCACTGTGGATGTGTGTGTTGTGACTGCTCCTCTGTGTCTGTCGCTAGTGTTGGAGAGTTGGCTCGATTACTCCGGGGAACTGGAGCCTCCGGATCCGTTGGCCCGTTTGCCTCAACTCAAGCATCGGATGAAACAGCTGCTGGCGGACCTGGGAAAAGTGCAGCAGATCGCATCCTGCTGTGCCGTGTGAGCTGAGCTGAGCTTCTCTCGTAGACTCTGTAGAGAACGCTGGGGGCTGTGTTCCCCCCCCGGCCTGGGCACCCCCCACTCCTCCACCTGGCGAGAGGGAGGGGTGCGATGGCGACGCTTGGCCTTAGCGGACTGTGGGCTGTGGCCTGGACTTCGTTCATATCTTACTCCACTTTCTCATGTCGCAATTCTCATGTGTGGTCGGGTACTGTTCTCTCGCTTTACACCCAAAAATAGCAGGTGTAACCCTCACCCCCCAACCTCTCTCTTTCCACCTCTTCCACTTGGTATTGCACCCTGTGACTTACAGTGTGTGTGTGGGGGAGCGGGGGGGAGGCGCGGAGGGGGAGGATGGGCTGAGCGCATAGGAGACGAGAGAGATTATCCGATTATCCGATACTATGCACTCGTCAAAGATTCCCTGCGCCCAACAAGGTGGGAGAAGGGGGAGGTTGGTACAAAGAAAAAGAGAAGGCGGAGGGGAAATGTCTCATTGTTTTCCAAAAAAATCTAAATATATATGTGTATATATATAGATATATGACAGCGGTGGCTAATTACCTATTTGGTTGGCCAACAGAATAAATGTTTCTCGATTGAATATTTCTTGAATCCATGGCATAAATTCTGTGCTATTTTGTTATTACTACGATTGTTTTGTTGGCTGACCAAAACGGTTGGTCACCACCGATGGATGAGATGAGAAGGAGTGAAGAGAGGAGGTTGTGTGTGTGTGTGTGTGTGTACGTGTGTGTACAGAACGGTTTCAACGTTTACATTGATTATGCACTAAAATAGAAGCGTGTGTTTTGACAAACGCACGCGCCCCTGTGTATATATAGAGCGGATTATCTATGTGTGGTAGCAATTATTTGTCCGCAGTTGCTGACTCCGATCGATTTCTTAAGTGTTTGAATAATAAAGGAGAATGTTATTGTTCTTTACCCAGGACTTCCATTTTATTTTGGGTTCAGACGATGGGTCGTGGACCCGAAACGTCGACTCACTTTTGTTTCTCCATGGATGCTGCCTGACCTGCTGAGTTTCCCGGCTGTTTTTATTTATTTTAGTTTGTCGCCCTTCTCCCACATTTGGGTTATTTTCATATCAATAATACTAATAATAATAATAACTTGATCACGTCGTTCGGACGTCTCAAAGCGTTTCAGAGGATGTACTGTAAAGTGGATCGACCGTGTGTTTTTGTGGGTGAATCGCAGCAGCGCAGTTGCACACAGCGACGTCCCACAAACATCCGTGGACGTGGAGTAAAAACAGGGTGGTCCGAAAGGGTGTCATGTCGGCGGCCCCCCACCATTCCACTCCCTCCCTCCCTGGTGAACAGCAGCGGTAGGATCCGATGGTTGGGAGGACGCAGTGCGGAGAGACTTTACTGCCGTCTGCCAGGAGAGATTTAGCAACTGACCGCCGGCTTCTGCCGCTGCATATAGTGACCCGCGCTGGGGGGGAAGGGAGGAGAGAATGGAGGTCGTTGGTTGCTAAGGGTGCAGTTGATAAGTGATGCGCTTGCCTTCCTGACAGACGGCGGTAAAGTCCCTCCACGCTGCGTTCTCCCAACCGCCGGCTCCTGCCGCTGCCCAAGGAGGATATTCACTAGGGAGGGAGGGAGGGAGGGAGTGGAAGTTGGAATGGTGGAAATGGTCTCGGGCTGGATCCTGCCCCCGGCTGCCTGCCCTGTAGCAACCAACCAATTTTATTTGGGGGGATTGTTATCCAGGACACCGGGAGAGAGAAATCCCTTCTCTTTTTGAACAGCGTCACGGGATCTTTTAGCATTCACCTGATCAGGCAGATGGGACCTCAGTTTAACGTCTCATCCGAAGGACGAATGCCCCAATTATGTATGTTGTGTATTATAATAATTCTTGCATTTGATGCAGCGCCATACGTGGCAGAAGGACATCTTCCTGTAGCTCAGTGGTTAGAGCACTCGCCTCGCAAGTGAGAGACCTGGGTTCGATTACCGGCAGGGCAAAACCTTGGGCAAGTTTCCTTACTCCACACACACACACCTGATAATAATCCCTCAAGAAAAAAAACGAAATTGGTCACTTCAATTCACAACTGTTTGTGGGATGTGGCTGCCACGTTTCGCCCACAAAATATACAGTCAATTCATTTTACAGTGTATTCTGTGAAGAGCTTTGAGACGTCTCAAAGACGTGAAAAGCGCTATATCAAATGCAAGGATTATTATCTTAAAAGATTTACTGTAGAGCATAGCGACTTTAGTGTTTTGCAGCCAGTTTGCACGGGGCGATGTCCCTGGAAACAGCCATGACGTATGTGAAGGATCAATTTCATCGCGGGGAATTGTTGGCCGAGACACAGAGCGGGAGAGAGAAACCCTCTTCCTCTCCATCATTCCAGGGTGAGTCTCCCGAGAGTGTTGCGGGTAATCTCTCAAAGAACAGGAATAACTTGTACTTCGAGAGAACCGATGAAGTTGTTAATATAATAATGATTCTTGCATTTGATAGCGCCTTATCACGTTGTTGAGTCATCACAAATTGATTCATAAAATATACTGTCAAGTAAGTTGACCGTGTATTTTATGGACGAAACACGGCAGCCAATTGTACCACAAACAGTTGTGGATTGAATGACCAAATCATTATTTTTTGGGGGACGGATTATTGCCCTAGGAAAGTGATCCGCCAATTGACTAACAACTGGGTTCCTACTTACTGCTTGGTAAACTGAGGCATGTGGAGTAGGGAAACTTGCCGATAAGAGTAAGAGAGGATGGGTTGTTTTGCTTCCAAATGACAAATTATATAGTCCCATCAAGTGTGAATCTACCTTGCTCAGCAGAGAATAAGATCAACCGTGTCGAGACTTGACTCTCACAGCCTTAAACCCTATATTAAACTGACCGCCAGAGCACAGGGCAGTAAGTGCAATACGATGTCTGTCCTCATTCAAATCATCGGTCACTCACTGCTGCTGTTTGTGGGACGTGCAAATTAGCCAAAATAGTCCCAGCTGCTTCATAGAGTATCCTGTGAAATGCTTCGAGAAGCCACAACGACGTGAAAGGCATACTAACAATAATTTGGTCACTTATTCCGCGACTGTTTGTGGGACGCTGCTGTGCGCAATTGTTTCACCCACAGCATTTACAGTCAATCCCTTTACGGTGTATCCTGTGAAGTGCTTTGAGACGTCTCGAAGACATGATAAGGCGCTATTATCAAGTGCAAGGATTATTAAATAAGGCGCAGTATCCTAATGCAAGGATTAATGTTAAATGGTATTGAAGGGTGTCTCGAAGTGCATTGGACAGCTGACTGGGAGCCGAGAGGAGGGGGTGTTAGAGACGAGATGGTGGGGGGGTGGTCAAAAAGCTGTGTCTTAAGGGGGAGAGGGCGGGGGTAGGTGGTGAGGCAGAGGGACTCCAGGATGGAATACTACGACAGTGATCATGGGAGAAGGCGGAGCGATAGGGTGGGGGCGCAGAGGGGAGAACCTCTGAAAGCACCTGGGAGCATAACGTAATATCTGCTTCGTTTAGGGATGTTTCTTTCATCTTTAAAAATAACTCATACGTGTACCCTTGTGGGCAGGGGGGCGGGCAGGCAGGCAGGTGGTGATCACATGGCGCCCGTGGGTTTCCATTTGCCCCTAATCCGAAGGAGGTGGGGGTAGGGGGGCGCAGGTGCTTGTCTGACGCCAGGTTCTCTACTCGCAAGAACAGGAAGCAACGTTGGCCTTAACAGCCCTCCCCTCCCCCGTTGCCATCAACATCCAGCTATCGACAGCCTGACAATAATGCTCGCGTTTTGAAACCGCGCCTTTCGCGTCTTGAGGGTGTTTGACTGCGTTTTGCTGGAACGGTGTGTGTAGTGACTGCGTTTTTGCAGGCCAGTTTGGCGGCCAACTTGCGCGCATCCACGTGCCACGAGGTGCGAGGCTGGACTACTTACGAGTTCGAGCAGTTATTCCAAGGTTATGGATTCAAGCCCTATTTCGGGGAGTGGGATTGGTGGGGTGGAGTCGGCAGTGACTGAGTCATGGTGGCAGTGAAATCTGATGGTGATAAACTGCTGTCAGTTGGGTGTGTGGTTATTTGGTGACCGGGGGGGGGGGGGTGCGAGGAAAAAGAGCAATAATTTTAAAACAAACAAAAAAGCCACACAACACAACAGGAAGACTTGTTTATCAATTCAGGTTTTAAAGGTCTCTTGTCTCTCTCTTCCTGTGTTTAGTGGTCACTTGTCTTTACTGACACGGCAGCCAGCAGAGATAGACCAAACTGTGGTTTCACAATTGCAAAACCCCCCCTATTTGCGTTCACTGCATTTGGCTGTTGGTTACAGCCTCAGAACAAGACTGACAATTGCACAATTTTCCATGATATCACAACCCGACTGTGGCCGTGTAGATGGTCCCTCTCCTGGACGAAACGTTGGGGGATGAAGACCCTTCGGACCATTTGCTCCCACCCTTTGACAATCCCCCCGAACTCCCATTACAGCACTGAGCTGTTTCTCAGATGAGTCCCAACTCCCTGGCCTGGCCTCAACCACCCTTCCTGTTCACCCGTTTGTCATTCACTTTAGGGTGAAGGAGTTTAGTGCTGAGAGCAGCAAAGGAGCCGTCCTTTGGATGAAACGTTGAACCCACGTCTGTGCCTGTTCAGGTACCCGTTAAAGACACCCCCTGCTATTTGAAAAAGAGAAGGGAGTTTCTCTCTCTCTCTCTCCACCAGTGTCCTGGCTAACAATCTTCCCCCAGAGAGGAAAAAAATAAAGATCATTCGCCTCACGGCTTTTTGTGCGGACGTTGCTTTCAAGAATGCGCAGTCACTACACTTTTGCAGTCAAGTCTTGTGAAACGCTTTGAGATGTCTCGATGATGTGATAAGGCGAGGGAGCAAATGCAATGGTTGTTATTTACAAGGAAATACTTGCTGGTGGCTGTTTTGAACACAGCGAGACATCACCAATTGGGGGGGTGGGAGAGATTACGCACATCACATTTTTTATAGAATATTATGTTATGGTTTAAGTGACTATTCCTCATTTCAGTATTGTAGTGAATATCCTGTCCTCTACACAGTGACGTTTCTTTGATCTGAGTTTTTTTTCCTTCTTTGTGTAGGGGGGTGTGTGCGTGTGTTTTATTTTCAATCTTGCTTCACTTCAATTCCTCCATTCCCCCCCCCCCGCACACACACACACACACACACACACACGTACCACGTGGTTTATTTCAGCCAGCTTGAGGGGGGGAGGGGGATAGGAGGTGGGGAGGGGGGAAGGAGAGGTTCACCCGACCCCCCCCTTTTCTCTCTCTCCAGCGCTGGTCATAATGCGGGGGCTGGAAGCTGAGGTGGAGGCGTTTGGAGGCGACAGCTTTGAGCTTGAGATATTTTGAGTCCATACTTTGCGGAAAAAAATAATGCAGAAATGTATTCCACAAGCAAACACAGAGAGAATGTCAAAGAGTTTGATTCATTCTGAAAGTATTTATATTTTTTTTCTACCATCCTTTTCCATAACTCCATTTCTCTGGGGAGAGGGTGTGCGGTGGGTGGGTGGGTGGGGGTGAAGGTTGAACTGGGTTCAAGGAGACATTGGAAAGGTTCCAAGGCAGTCAGCTCCGTGACAGTGTCAGGGCCATTGCTGATGGTTGAACAGCCTGGCTGGCTCATCGGTGAGACTCGGGAGGTGAGATCGTTAATCATAATAATTTTAATATCCTTACATTTGATACAGATGGGGTGGGGGGCTGGGGTGGTGGGGGACCGGGGTGGGGGGGGGGGAAAGGATGTCTCAAAGTGCCCCGCAGAATTTATCGTGTAAGCGTAGTGACTGCAACACAGAGGATACAACAATAAAATTACATTTGTACAACGCCTTCCATGTCGGGAGGACGTCCCAAGGCGCTGGACAATCAGTGTTTCGGACCCAAGCTGCGGGTCGGGCGTTTGTTTGACGTGAGCCTCAAACCCAGAAGCGATCGCTTTGCTCTCTTCCCTCCTGTCCCTGGCAGCACATGCGCAGATTCCCTTCTGTTGAATATAATTATAAATAATAATAATCTTTGCATTTGATATAACACCTTATCAAATCTCAAAGCGATTCACAGGATACACTGTAAAGTGAAGTTACTGTATATTTTGTGGGCGAGACGTGGCAGCCAATTGCGCACAGCAGCGTCCCACAAACAGTCGTGGATTGAGTGGTCAAGTTTTTTTTTTGAAAAGGATTTATTACCCCCGGAAAAGTGATCCACCAATTGATTAAGAACCGGATTCCTGCTTACTGGTAGGTAATAGAGGCGTGTGGAGTAAAGAAACTTGCCCAACATTTCGAGCTGTTGGGAATCGAACCCAGGTCTCTCGCTCGCTCTAATTGCTGAGCTGCAGGACTCCATGTCTCAAAGCTCCCCACAGAATTTACTGTAAGGTGTATTGCAGTGACTGTAATTTGACCACAAATTTTGTGCCAGGAAGCACAGAGGTTGCATTGTGGCACCGTGTATCTGATGTCACTTGAGCAGCACTTCCATAATGTACAGGACAGAAAATTCAGACAGAAAGACCAGGGACCAAAATACAAGCGCCATCACCATCCTGCATCGCTGGCACAACCCAGCACCTCCAAAGCAGGTCTTTGCAGAGCTCCGAACTTACAAAAAAAATCGAGTGACGACCGCAAAAGTAACAGCCGCGCTTTGGTCGACACTTGGGGAAGTTCTCAGAATGACCTGCGAGGACGGGTCGCACCTTAAAATGCCGGGGGCAAGGTGTCAAAATCAGCCTGTGCGCGTTTACACTGTAATTCAATATCACACTGGGTCCTAAGGATCACCCTCTTCCATGTGCGACAGTTATTAATCTTGGGTGGGTGGGGTGAGAATGGGACATTTACCCAATCTTTGCACCCGACATCGCTGCCAAGCTGTAAAAGGTCTCTCTACCCCCCCACCCACCACCTCTACACAGTTGCAACTTATATTTACAATCCTTGTATTTGATGTAGCTCATCAGTTCGCTGAGACGTCTCAAAACGTCTTCGACTCTGCTATATAGCAGTGTCCCACAAACAGCCATGGATGGAGTGATCAGATTTTACTGGCGGGTCCGGGGGGCTGGGCTTGTCAGCCAGGACACCGGGAGAGAGAAACTCTCTTCTCTTTTCAAATAGCGCCGCAGGATCTTTAACGGCCACTTGACCAGGCAGACAGGACCTCGGTTTAACATCTCAACCGAAGGCTGTATATTTATGTAGCACCTTTCACATTGGAAGGACGTCTCAAAGCACTTGACACATTTGTTAGATTCTTTCCCCACCTCCGCACCACCATCAGTGGCCAAGCCTTTCATCATATCATAAGGTGCAGACATTTCATCAGTTACATGATTGGCTTTATTCACAGTAGCTAATCTGGCAAAAACAACACTTTTTTTTTACACCGGGCACCACTCACTCGTCAAATAAATTATACAGAGTTTACGGCTCAATTCTGCATTTTACACGTAAATTATTACATTTTACTGTTTAATGAGATTGCCCCACAATTTTCTTTTCCTCCACTTTCTGGATAAATGTACAGTAAAACTATCATAAGTCTGATCTGTATAAGTCGTGTTATGGCCCAAGTTGTACATCTGTCCAAGTCCCGTTCAATATTTAGTTTATATTCTATGCAAGTTTGACATAAACTCATATGTTTGCATAAGTCATATTAAATTTATGGTCCTAACTATATTTGTGTGCGATTTGCAAGAGCTGAAAAAACTCCCTATTCCCATTCCCACCAGTAGGTTTCCAATGGAACAAGCCTCTTCCCGTTGACTTCCATCGGCTAGGATTCCAATGGATCAATTTATGATCCGGTGACTGAGCTGAGTAAATCGCTGGCTCTGGTGGCTGGGGACCGCTTTACTGACCAAAAAGGCTGAAATCCTTTTCGATTCTCGTTCATTAAGTGATCAGGAGACGAGAGAGCCCCATTGATAAGCCCCTTGACGATAAAGGTTAGGACCATTTCTCTGTGGGAAATTGCATAACAATAATAATAATCCTTGCATTTGATATAGCGCCTTATCACGTCTTCGAGACGACTCAAAGCGCTTCACAGGATACATTGTAAAGGGAATCGACTGTATTTTGTGGGCAAAACGTGACTCTTACAGACAGACTTGCTCGGTTACAGTTTTGCAAATCAGACGCCTTCAGCACATGAAATATTGTGAATAAACTATTTCAATGGAATTTTCCATTGAGCAGGTTAAACCTGACTCACAGCCTACATCTTCCTGTAACCTGGATCCAGCCAGCATCACAGTGAGATAGTTCATTAAAAATATGCATCGCAGTAACTTAGAAGTGCATTATCTTGTGTGGAGACATTTTGTTATCAAAGCGAGAGGTTAGGAGCTGGAACCTTGGATTAGTCAGAATCCACATCAGGTTTTTTTTTTCAACAACAACTTGCATTTATACAGCTGCCTTCACGTGGAATAAAGTCTTGAAGCGCTTCGCAAGGGTGGTGTGAAGGGGAGATCATACTAAACAAATAATAATGACTAGATCTCAAAAGGGAACCAGATGTACTTGAAAAGGAAAAATTTGCAGGGCTGTGGGGTAAGAGCGGGGGGAATGGGACGAGTTGGATATAACTCTTTCAAAGAGCTGGCACAAGGCACAGTGATGGGCCGAATGGCCTCTTTCTGTGCTGTAAGACTCTGATAATTAAAAATAAAGGGTATAGCTCAGCTGCACCCACGTGACCGCTAACCATTTGAATAAGTTAAAAAGAGGATTAAAATAATTAACGTTAACGTGAAGTCTGTGCAAATGCACCCAAAGATCCCCCTTTCCTCAGAGGGGGTGCAAGTGAGCCGCATTGGATGGATGGACGTGGCTCAGTTGAAACCGAAGCTGGCGAGTCTCTCCTCCTGGCTCTGACTGGCTTGCATTTGGCTATTCTGCAGTCTTGCCTTTAACAGTTTCAAGCGCGACTTTTTGTCGCTCATTTCGGTCAGCGCCAGATCTTCAGTCATGAAGAGGTAAGAGTTAATGGCCTCCCTCAGCCCCAGGCTGACCGGGGACTCCTCTCCTGGCTCCTTATCATCGGTCATCAGGACCGAGCTGGAAGAGAGAGAGAGAGAGAGGGAGGGAGGTGAGTTTCGGAACCGTGAAAATTCACAGCGCAGAAGATAAAAGGCTGTCCAGCCCATCAAGTGTCTGTAGTAGCTGTTAATGATCCTTGCATTTGATATAGCGCCTTGAACCTTGAGACGTCTCGAAGGGCTTCACAGAGAATATTGTAAAGTGAATTGACCTTATTTTTGTGGGTGAAACTCAGCAGCCAATCGCGCACAGCAGCTTCCCACAAACAGCTGTGGATTGAGTGACCACAATTAGGAAAAAATTGTGGAGGGATTATTACCTCCGTAAAGCGATCTGCCAATCGATGGTAACAACCAGGTTCCTACGTACTTACTGCTGGGTAAACGGAGGCGTGTAGCGTAAGGAAACTCCCCTAAGGTTTCGCCCCACCCGGGAATCGAACCTGGGTCCTCTCGTTTGCGAGGCGAGCGCGCTAACCACAGTGCCACGGGACTCCACACTCACCTGTCCATGGTGCCCCAGTTCAGCTGCGGCTTTTGGACGATGATGGGGGCGGGGTGCTGCTGGAGGGGGGCTACGGACCCCTGAATGCGACACGGCTCCTTTAAGAGGCAGCACAAGCCCTCGTCACACTCTGTGGGGGTGGGAGGATGGGTGGAGAGCAAAGGGAGAGGCATAAGAGACAGGTGAAAACACAGCGCCATTGCTTGCAGAATCAGAATAATCCTCACACTTCTGCGCTGCCGCCTGAGACAGGCTGATGCTTGTTTCTAATCTCGTATTTCTACTGAAGCTCTTTATGTAAATAATAATAATCGTTACATTTGACGTAGCGCCTCATCACATCATCAAGATGTCTCCAAAGGGCTTTGCACGATATACTCTGTATATTTATCCAACAAACAGCCGTGAAGTGAGTGACCAATTTTAATTTGGGACGTATTGGCCAGGACCCCAGGAGAGAGAGGAACTCCCTTCGCTTTTCGAAAGGTGTCATAGGATCTTTAACGTCGCCTGAACTGGGAGATGGGACTTCGGTTTAAAGCCTCATCCGAAGGACGGCACCTCCGACAATGCAACCCCCTCCCCCAGCCCTGCATTGGAGCATCAGCTTAGAACCCACGAACCTTCTGACTTGGAGGCGAGAGAGAGAGAGAAAGCGCTACCAGTGAGCCAGGCTGACACACAGGGTATAAAGCCTGGCTTTGGCTGTAGTTGGCATCTCTGGCCAATGCCAGAGGCAGAGGCTTTCACCTCCTTCCTCAATTCGAGTTGAGACACAAATCGGCCGTGATCTAACAAAATGGCGAAACTGGCTCGAGGGGCTGAATGGCCTCCTGTTCCTTAATTGTTAGACATTTCTCTCGCGCGGTGGGTGGGGGGGGCGGGGGGGGGTGGGTGGTAGTGCTGGTAACTGTAACAGCTCGGTTATCTCGGTTTCCCTCTTCTGCTTTTTTAAAAATAATAATAATAATCCTTGCATTAGAACAAGGCTACAAACAGGACATCGTCAAATAGCCGAAGAGGAACTGTCTCACACTGTGCGGATAGCTGGTGCCAGTGTCTCGGACACGTACCTGAGTAGTGATCGACCATTTCCTGCAGAGAGGCAAAGGTGAGTCGTGGTGAGATGTAGAACCAGCCATTGGGCAGGCGGGTGATGCGATAGTGTTTGAGGGAGTCCCACAAGGGGCTGTTGCATCTTCTGATGGACAGAGAGTAGCAGCCTGCGGGACAAGGAGAGGGCGATTTACTGGCACCGTTAAGGGAGGTGACAGTGAGAGAATAGCTGGCAAACACTGCCTCGAAACACAACAACCACCACCACCACAGATTACCTTCATACAATAAAACTCCCTATAAATCTGATCTGTATAAATCGTATAACAGCCTAAGTTGTCCATCTGCCCAGGTCCCCCCGCTCATGGGTTTATATTCTATGCAAGTTTGACATAACTCATACTTTGCATAAGTTGTATTAAATGGTAGGCCTCAACTGATACGACTTACGTGAGGTTTACTATGCAGCACCTTTCACGTCGGAAGGATGGCCCAAGGCGCTGGACAGTGAAGGAGTTTGCGCCTGAGCTGGGAGTTGCAATCAAGAGGTTTGGAGGGTACAAGGTGTGGGGGGAAGTGTGACTGAGCGACTGACGCTCAACCCGCGGCTCGGCACCCCTTCACCACCCGCTCTTTGGCACATGCCAACAGCCCGCGAAGGGTTAATGACTTTCTGTGCTGCATGTTGAGAGGGTTAGCACCTCGGCTGCGCCTGGGGAGCTTGATGTGGGATGGTGGAATCCTGTTACGGCCAGTAACGTTGTCACTATGCTCATTGCAACATCTGCCAGCTCCGATGAGGTCTGACAGGTGCAGTCGTTCAGTGTAAGAGCTTCCTGCTCAAACTGTAACAGCACGGTTAACTCTGCTTCCCTTTTCTGCTTTTTTTTAATAATAATAATAATAATAATCCTTGCATTAGAACAAGGCTATAAACAGGGCATTGTCAAATAGATGAAGAGGAACTGTCTCACACTGTGCAGTGGTGGCTGCAAAATTAAGTGATTGTATATTTTGTAGGCAAACGCGGCAGCACGATTGGGCACCGCAATGTCCCACAAACCGCCATGGAGTGAGCGACCAATTGTATTGTTTAATCGTATGATAATAATCCTTGCGTTTGATACAGTGCCTCATCACATCCTCAAGACGTATCTCAAAGCGCTTCACAGAATATATTGTAAAAGTGAATTGACTGTGGATTTTGCGGGCGAAACGTTGGGAGGATTGTTGGCCCAGGACACCGGGAGAGAGAGAGAGAGGAACTCCCTTCTCTTTTCGAGTAACGCCGCAGGATCTTTTACGTCCATCTGAGCAGGCCGACAGGACCTGGGTTTAATGTATGATCCAAAAGACGGGTGGGCTCAGTGCAAACCTGCCTGGCCCATCGTTGCGAGATCAGCCCAGTGCCACCCCTTTAAAAGTTGCCATCAGTCATCTTTCTAGTAAACTGAGAGAAGGCTTCCTCTCTCTCACTGGGTCTAAATAGCTCTGTCACCGCAGTGTTATCTGATTAGATTCCTCTGAGAGGAAACGCTTCACATCTCGCTGACAGCTCCTATCACCAAACCGCTGGGTAAGAGGTAATAATGATAATAATAATAATTAAAATAATAATAATCCTGGCATTTGATGTAGCGCCTTGTCACTTCGTTTAGACATCTCAAAGCGCTTCACAGAATATAATAATAATAATAATAATACTTGCATTTGATATAGCGCTTTTCACGTCAGGAGGACGTCCCAAAGCGCTTCACAGAACACACTATAAAGTGAATTGACTGGGTATATTTGTGGGCGAAATGCGGCAGCCAATTGCGCACAGCAGCGTCCCAAAACAGTCGTGGATTGCGTGTTTTATTTGTTTAGGAGGGATTATTCCCCCCGGGAAGCGATCGGCCAATCGACTAACAACCGGGTTCCTACCAATTGCTGGATAAACAGAGGCGTGTGTGTGGAATAAGGAAACTTGCCTAAGGTTTTGCCCTGACTGGGAATCGAACCCGGGTCCTCTCGCTTGTGAGGCGAGCGCTCTAACCACTGAGCTACAGGACTCAACCACGGTTGGGACATGCCGTGCTTTGTGAGCAGGGCTCCCGCTCGCCGGCTCGGTGTATATTCCATCACTCGGATCTCCTAGGAATTTGTCTCACTCACCCCGTCTGGTCTGGCTCTCTCTGATCATGAACGCTCCCGCCCAGTTCACGGGCAACATCAATAATTCCTCCGCTTTCTCTCTGCTGATGCCCTCGAACAGCCACCTGCGGAGAGGGGAGGAGGTGGTGGTGGGGGTGGGGGGGGGGGCGGTGGGGAAGGGGAGAGAGGAAGGAGGAGAGCGTGTTAGTGAGGCTTGAGGAGCGGTGGGGGGTACGGTGGTCAGATTGGACTCATCTTCAACGTTCAAGCACTTGGTGTGCTTCCTCTTGTACATGCACACGCATGCACATGTACACACTTACGCACACGCACACACACGAGCTGACACTGCACACATTTAACAATTCCCTCCGTGCAGTGTGATTTCACCTTTCATCCCCAACTAGAGAGCGAGCAAGCGAGAGCGAGTTTGGTGGTGATACAATCAGACGTCTCAGGTACTTCACAGGATGCTAGGGTTGTGACTGTATGTTTTGTGGATGGAGCCAGTACGCGCACAGCAATGTCCTTGCCGTCCGCCCCGAATGATTAGATCACTGAGGGCCCATCCGCTGCGATCACTGTTTGTAGGTCACACACATCACCCACATGTCTGCAGAGAACTCGAGCCGCCCTGAGTGGCCACCCACTCCCGGCTCAACACAAGCAACGGGTTTGGTTAATAGTCAGCAAATAGCCTGCCATGCACTTGTCACTACACTGTACAGTAACATCCTGTGAAGCACTTTGAGACGTTAGCACCACGTGATAAGGTGCTGTGTCAAATGAAAGGAGTGTTATAATTATTATTCTTATGAATAAACTAATAATTAATAACACAGGTGAGTTTACCTGTGATACACCTTGGCCACGTAGTTAGAAGGGATGTAAAATTCTTGGCCCGTTGTCACGGTGATGACTTTCAACCAATTGCCGTCCCTGCGAATTGCAACAGGGAAAAGAATGAAGTGACACTCGAGTTGTCAGTGACGACAATACACTTACACAACAACGACGACGATGACTCAGATATATATAGTGTCCTTCACGCTGGGCAGCGGCTACACAACACCACCAACAAATGACATTTAAACGGTGCCTTTCACGTAGGGAGGACGTCCCCAAGGCACTGGACCAGTCAGAGATTTGCGCCCGAGCTGGGGTCTGGGATCAGGAGGGGTGGAGGGCAGGGAGGGTTGAGATGGGAGTCAGTACTCACTCTGTGATGATGTTCACTCTGTCGCCCACCTTGATAGTGGCTCCCGATGCCAAGTTCGAAGGGTAGTTATACAATGCCACCACCTCCATCACTACTTTGTTGAGAGCTTCGGGAAAAAGAGAATGTAGGAGAGAGAATGTCAGCAGCGTTTCTGCAGTAAAATCTCTATTAAATAAGACCGAGGTTTAAATTTGGACACAATTTTTTTTTACTTTCTATTTTTACTATTTCTATTTTTCTATTTCTACTTGAACTTCTTGAAATCCCTGTCCAGTTCCCTCTCTCGTCTTCTACTTTTACTGTCTCTTCTGCCTCTCGTAGCGTTCTGTTCCACACCTCGTGGTCTGAAGTAGTTTATATCTGAGCTGTCTGGTCACCTTTCCTCTTTTTGAATGACTGCGGGGCAGGGAAGCAATCTAAAACAGAATTTAGGAGGAACTATGTAACGCGGAGAGTAGTGACAATGTGGAACTTGCTGCCTGAAGCGGTGGTGGAATCAAATAATAGAGAAGTGTTTAAGGGGAAGTTAGACCTTCAAATGAGGGCGTGGGAGAGAGAAGGGTTTTGGGAGGAATCTTTTGGTCAGCCGGGTGTCTGACACATGCAGAAACCAATCACCGTTCCTTAAGAGTCTCCAAACCAACCCGAGAATTTCATTCATCCCACCTACACATGGAAACCCCAGAGATAGATTGTTGGCTGGAATGCGCTCTCTCTCTCTCTCTCTCTCTCTCTCTCCCTGGAGGGATGCATCCTGCTTACCTAATTTGGGAGAGTATTAGACACAGGTTGGCAAGGCTTGGGAGGGGAACCAAGTGTGTGCATTGGGGTTAACTGCTTGAGCCTAACCAGCTAAAACCATCTAGCTTGCCATCGATTGGAATGGATTCTGACGCGTCCTATTTCAGCGCTGACCACTCTCGGTCTCTGGTCAGTATCACAAACAGGTTTATTTTGAACTCCTCGAGTGAGTGACTCACGTGTGGGTGCGTTGCTGGTGGCCTGTAAGGGTTGGAAGGTGATGCGACTGCTTTTACTGGGCCGACTGCCCATATCTTGTAGCCCGTGAATTTGCTTGTTATTGCCTTAAGTCCAGGAAGCTGTAAGACAAGGGGAGAGATATGTGAGGGGGTGTTTTCAATGGCGGCTCCTCTGGGAGAGTCTCTCCCGTTAACCCCTCGAGTACTGCAGTTGATTAGCTGCTGTAATTTGAGTTTTAAGCCCTATTTTCTCTCCTCTCCCTGGAGGCGTCTTAGATTTGCTCTTACAATCTCCCGGCGGTAAATTTCCCGCTCGGAGCATTGCATTGCATGTCTTTGAACCACTGGCAGTTGGATTATCACTGGATTCTCCAGCCTGCAGCGTTTAACATGTTACTTTGATCAGGAACGAAAACAAACTAACGAGCCATGTTGCCTACATTTGCATCAGCCTTTGGGGCCTGAAATTGCTCACACAATGGATCGACCTCAACGATCCTCATTATCAATCTCTCACGCCTTCACTCCTGCCTACCTTGCGGAGTCCTGTAGCTCAGTGGTTAGAGTGCTCGCCTCGCAAGCAAGCAAGAGGACCTGGGTTTGAATCCCGGACAGGGCAAAACCTCAAGCAAGTTTCCTTACTCCACACACCTCTGTTTACCAAGCAGTAAGTAGGAACCCGATTGTTAATCGATTGGAGGATCACTTTTCTGGGGTAATAATCCCTCCGCCGCCCCCCAAAATAATAATTTGGTCACTCAATCCACGACTGTTTGTGGACGCTGCTGTGCACAATTGGCTGCCGCGTTTCGCCCACAAAATACAGTCAATTCAATCTACAGTATTATCTGTGAAGCACTTTGAGACGTCTCAACAACATGATAAGGCGCTGTATCAAATGCAAGCATTACTATTATTAAGCCTCACTTGTTCTCTCTCTCTCTTCCATCAATCCTTGCATTTGATGTGGCGAGTTTCACTTCGAGAGGATATCTTAAAGCAAGAGAGCTGGGCATTGCTGAGCCGGAGTTAATCTCTCTGTGGCTTCTGGTTCCTGACCATTTATAATTTGAGGTGTAACATTGTACAACAATGTGGGTAAGGATTTATATAGCTTTCACAAATACATAAGAGCAAACAACTTTTCAATTGAAGTCACAGGGGCCCTTAATGCCAATTGGATAGATGTCATTAAGGCATATTAATAAGCATTATTATTATTGTAATTATGTCTGACTGTTTTGAGGTGTTTTCTCCAGGTTTGGTGATTTTGGTCTCATTTCTCCACATCTCCCCATGATAAGACGAGAGAACTTGCTTTGTCTATAAAGCACCTGTGTGTTGATTGACCGCATGAAGCAATTCACAGCTTAGACAGACATAGCCAGAGAGAGAGAGAAATACGCAGGTTTGAAAACTTGAGCAAAAACCATATGATCCAGGGAGAGATACTGAGATGTTTTCCTGCGAACAAAGTAATAATAATAATCCTTGCATTTGATATGGCGCCTTATCATGTCATGATACCCACTTAATCCACTTTACAGTGTATCCTGTGAAGCGCTTTGAGACGTCTCAACGATGTGACGAGGCGCTGTATCAAACGCAAGGATTATTATTGTGAATTTGTATTTTTTGTTGTGTAAATTGAGCCGAGTTTTATGTGATATAAAAAGCTGATCAGCGCAGATGTCACCCAGTGTATAGGAAGCCGCTGTTCTGCCAGCGATCTGCGCTCTGGAACATCAGAAGACGATCGTGTTTCCGCTCAAAGACACTTTGTACCTTCTGAGGCTGCTAGATTCAAATCTTTTCACAGAGCTTTCCTTTCGCCACACAACACCGCCCGTCCTCTCCCCTCCCATCTTTCCGCTAATTCAAGCAATTAGAGTCAGTGAAATCTACCAATCTGTCAAGTTAATACCAGTTAAGGGCTAAAAAAAAAACTGGTGATTCATCCCGATAAGGAGCTTTAATCTCTAAATCTCTCTCTCTCTCTTTTTCATTTTCTTTGTACCTTTTGTCAGATCTCTCGAGTTTGCTCAGCGTACATTCTGGAAGGATATCACTGAACCACAACCCATTGTAAAGTTAAACCAAAGTTTCCAACCACAGTGAAGTAGCGTCACAGCCCAGGCAGCTGCAGTCTCGGGGGTGGAGGGGTTGGGGTGGGTGGGCGAGGGGTGAGGGTCAGGGGGTGGGGTAGGGGGAGATTCTATCATCTAGTTAACGGGGGTCCCTGATCTTACGTCAGTACCTAACCTTTCCCCACATTCCCACCCCCTCACCTTCTCGATCAACAGCAATAGTAAAAATATTAATAGCTTGGTCACTCAACTCACGATTTTTGTTTTTGTTTGTGTTGGACGCTGCTGTGCGCAATTGGCTGCCATGTTTCGCCCACAATATTTACAGTCAATTCACTTGACAGTATATTTTGTGAAGAGCTTGGAGACGTGCTAAGGCACTATATCAAATACAAAGGTTATTATTGTTATCAACAACAACAAATTACATTTACATGGCGCCTTTCACGTTGGGAGGACGTCCCAAGGCTTTGACCAGTTAAGATTTGATCGTGGTCTTATCACGCAAACTCAGCAGTAATAATAATTATTTGTGTTTACACAAGGTCACAAGTCAGCGCTATACAAATGGAATTTGTTGTTGTTGTTATTGTGTCAAATAAAATGCCTCGAAGCACTTTTTAAAACTGCAAAACGCGTTGGAAACGAAGCAAGCCTTTTCACAGAACATAGGAACTGGAGTAGGCCATTCAGTCCCTCAAGCCAGTTCCACCATTCTATTAGATCATGGCTGATCTGTACCTCAACTCCAACTGAGGACAGAGAGTGTGTTTTTTTGGGGGGTGGGGGAGAACCTGGCAAATTTGGCTCTAGGGGCAAAATGTCAGTAACAGCGGTGTGTTTTTTCAAAGTGAAGAGAAGGTCTCTCTCTCTCTCTCTCTCTCTGTTCGCTCAGCTCGTTCTTGCTGGCCTGTCTGCCTGTGTGAGGCGCAACTGTGAAAAACATCGATTCAATCTCTTCATTCTCAGCTACACCCTGAGCTCAGCTATTCTGGTTCTGAGTCTCACAATCGCCACACATCACAGACAAGCAGCTTGGCTTGCATGACCTTAAGAACAAAATAATTCGCTAAGTGAAAGAAGACCTAGCAAATACGACCATCAGGAAGGTGGAAGGCGAACTAGATGGACCTTGGTTTTTCTTTCGTCTAGCATTTCTTATGTTCTTAAGACCAAGGTCCATCTAGTTAACCTTCCATCATCCTGTCAGTCGCTTGACATATACAGTGTCCCCAGATATTATTTTCTAGCAGAAATTGATCTAATTTGTTCTGCTTCCACCACATCCCTTGTGTGTGCTATTCTAACGTATATAATATTAATAATAATAATAATCCTTGCATTTGATATAGCGCTTTTCACGTCGGGAGGACGTCCCAAAGCGCTTCACAGAGTACACTGTAAAGTGAATTGACTGTATATTTGTGGGCAAACGCGGCAGCCAATTGCGCACAGCAATGTCCCACAAACAGTCGTAGATTGAAAATGACCAATTTATTATTGTTTTTAGTTTTTAGTTTTGGAGGGATTATTATTAGGCGTGGTTATATTATATATTTGGGATATAATAGATTTTATGTAATGTATATTTATGTTATTCACACATAACAGAGCTGGAGTTAAAACACGCAGAAACGCCAGGCTGGAAGGGTCAGGTAAAAACTTGTACAGTATCAGGGAAAAGGAAAAGGGAAATAATGACTTCTTTTTTCAGAATATGTCTTGATGGTACTGAGCGAGAGAGAGACACACACACACACACACTGAGAGAGACACACACACACAGAAACACTCACACACACACACACAGAGAATGTCAATGTCAGTTTTGCTCACTCTTGCCTCTGTTGCTGGAGGTTGTGTTGGTGAGCCCCAGGCCAGCACTCAGCTCACAGCGTAAGTGTAACACAGCAGCAATATAGCAATAATCTGTATTGGCGGATTAGCCAACTTTTCGATGGGACGTTAAACCAAGGTTTAGGGTGGCACTTTGAAATGTGTTGAGTTGATAAGGCGCTACAGATAAATTTATACAATAAGGTGTTATAAATAAATTGAAATTAATTTATGACACCTTATCGTATAGTTTGACTTTCTCCCGATATATTACAAATAAATATCTGGTAAATAATAATAATTTAGTCACTCAATCCACGACTGTTTGTAAGACACTGCTATGCAAAATTGGCTGCTGAATTTCAGCAACGAAATACACAGTACATTCTGTGAAGCGCTTTGAGACGTCTATATCAAATGCAAGGATTATTGTTATTATTATAAGAATCCTTTCTCTCTCTCTCACACACAAAGGCATAATGTCAGAGAGAGTGAGAAAGATACTGTAAAATGCACACACATACATACACACACACATATGTACGTCTGACAAAAAGGCCCATACTTACACACAGACAGAGACAGATGGACAGACAGACACGTAATGCAAAATAGAGAACAATACTCTTTTGCAAGTAACAGATTTTGCAAGCATTGTGAACCTCAGATCTGTTTAACATCTCGTTCCTTTTAAAATAGATTGACGCACGCAAATTTACAGATCAAACAATTGAGATATAAATCAGACAGGTGCAGAAAGGGGATGTTATTAATTTTTTGAAGTACAGAAATATCTGGTATTTTTTTACGGGGTGGGGGCTGCCCCACACTGGGTTCCCTGGGACGAGGCTTGGGATCTCTTAGGGATGGTTTAATTTGTCATTTATCCTGAGGTTCCTTGATCACCAGACAGACAGTCACACAATCACGCAACACTGAATCCCACAGAGCGCTTTTTGACGTCCTCCCGACGTGAAAGGCATCGTATCAAATGCAAAGGAGACAAAACCCCTCAGAACCATTCATTCATAGGGTCTTGAGAGACTTTCCATACCACCCTCTCTGAGTCACAAGTGAGTTTAAGAAAGAAGGAACTTTCATTTTTATAGCCACTTGTCATCTTCCAATGTGGCCCAAATGAAGAATGAAA